TGGTAACGATATAACCCATCTCAAGTTGCTGAATGTTGTAGCCAAAATGATGGCATTAAAACTATCGAGTTCAAACTCAAATGAAATGTTCAATGTGTTACTTTTATCAGAAAGCTGCCCTCATTTTGTGGAGATTTACATGTCTACAACATTCATAGGTATGATGTCCTTAAGAACTTGAAAAGTAGTATTTTTGCTATTTACCCAGTAAAAAAGTGAAAAACGTTAAATATTAAAAAATATCATGTCTTCTGTAAAATAATCCAATGATATATCTTGAGGGGATAAACTAGGAGAATGCATATAAATTAAGTTCTCAAATATGTGAATAAAAAATGGATTTTTTCACTAATGATCATAGCATATAAAGACCCTCAATAATGTATATTAACATTATTTCTTATTTTTTTCCAAGTAAGATTTTTTTTTGAATTATTCTTAGTAAATGATACTCTTGATAATAAACAATTTGAAGAATGAGATAACCCTTGGTGTATGAAATAATAAAAAATATTAATCCAATGGTTAGTTGTAGGAATAAACTAATTGAGATAAAAGAAGTCTTTTTTGTGAATTATTTAGAATTTTAAAAAAAATGGAAATGAATCCTTTGTGGCCAAAGAGTGATAGTATCATTAAGGTTAATTCAACAAGGAAAACTTAACAATTATATAATTTATTTATAAATGTGTACTTTCTTTGTGGCAGAGACACAGCAAACCCTTACAATATATGATGCAAAAAGCACTTCTTGAAATCAGGAATAAACTTGGCAATATTTGAATTGAGTAAATCATTAAAAGTGAAGGCCTTTACTTTTATAAATATTGTGTCAATTTTTATGATTTTCATAAAAATGATATTAGGAACATATACAGAAGCTAAAAATTCTACAACAATTAATAAAAAAAATCTTACTCCCTTTGGAAAAATTTATACGATTGAGCATCAAGTGATGGGAAAATTTAAAACTGAAAATAATCAATAAATCATTCAAGGACTAGAGATTGATAAGAAAAATATGGACAATGATGCCAATATTTATCTTACTGATTAGAGAATATATCTTTAAAAGGATAATGAACTTCTAACTTATATGTGACGAGCATTTTCTTAACTCTATTAATTGTGATAGTGTTTACTGATATCATAGATTAATAAATAAATGAACACTAACCAATTTCAAGGATTTTGAGATAAGTTTTAATTTCATGTGATTTAGTCTTCGGATAATTAAATCTCCAAGTGAGATCTATAAGGCTATTGACCTTTTTTATGACGCTTCATGGTGTCAGATATCAATGGATAACCACAATGAAATTAAACAGAAAAATTATTGTTGAACTACCTAGTATGTGCTGAGTAATTGAAGAGAAGCTACTCGTTTATAAAGTCTTATCCAAGACATGAGAGATAAGTAAGACATAATGTAGTCATATGATATACCTATGTCCTCAAACTATCTAATAAATTCCCATATAAATTAGATAAACCTTGAGATGTTTAGCCCTGCGCTTTATTTTGATTAGATCACATATGATGTCAAGATGTATGTGAACCAATTGCTAAAATATGACTTTATCTTTTTCCTCTGATTGATAAAAACTTTCTGTACACACTAGCTATCAGGAAATGGAGACACACGAAAGACATCCCACGAAGGAAGGTTAAATGGTGTTGTAACTCTAGAACTCAGCATCCTTGAGTCGTTGAAGACGGAATGGGTTCAGTTTAATCCCTCTGTAATCTGTTAGAAAGGGATGGAAGAGACTGGAAAATAAAAAAAGACTCAAGTAGGATGCAGTTCCAATAATGTAATTACAATACATTTCTCTCTCTCTTTCTCTCCTTTCCTCAACTTACATTTACTGTTTGAGCCTTTAACTCTGCCACCTCTTCCTCCCCGTACTCAAACATCCTCTTATCCTCTCTCCCCTTTATCTCTCTACTTCATCTCTATCTTCTCTCTCTCTCTCTCTCACCCCTCCCTTTCTCCCCTCCTCTCCTCCCACCCAAGTTCGTAATGCTTTGTTACAATTTCAGCCCTTATCAAAGGCAATTTGTTCAGTGATACAAATTGGATAGACGCTGGGTAGTCACGACACAGATAAGGGTCTGCCGAGATGGTCTGCCAGGTTGGTCACCATAAGGGCAATTCACTATCTTCAGGAGTAGACTCCAGGAGCACAGCTTACATATAGTGGAAGCAAACCCATACTGTTCTCAGACTCAGCGGTATACTTTAGCTTTAGGGATTTGACATCGGACATAACCTCCTCCGCGCATCTAACTGGGAGACTGACCTTTCCTTCCCTCGCCCGCTGTTTCTCTCGGTTAGCACGCTCCGTTCGACTCTTCCCGTAGCGGTTTCTTCTGAACGGGTTCAGAAACCACTCTACAAGACTGGCCAGAGAGGGAGTTTTGGACGGTTGACAGTCTCTAGAAGAAGCATGTCTCAGTGAATGCGATACATTAACGTTAATGGAGATCTTACATAAAATGGGCTGTCGAGATTCTAGTGGAGGAGACCTTCGTGGGGATAAGCCTCTTCCTTTTCGATGGAGGCCACTTTTAGTTCCTTTCTGATTTTCTATTCCTAGTCTTATAGCCCAATTTGACTCCAAGATCATCTCAAGCATCTAGATATATTTTCGTTATTTATAAACTTCTTCCATCATGGCGCTCTTTTGTTTGGAAATGATTGATTATTATGCGAAGAAATGCCAACTAGCTTATGAGATTCCATGTGAAAAGCCAATTCTAAGCGACGTGTTGTCGTATTACAATACGCAGACAATATTCACATAAGCCTGCAAGTTACTGATGCTAATCCATGCTGGCATACATCAAAGTTTATTGCCTGAAGTGGAATCTTTCATACACTTTTAGAAGTGTAATTTTTGAAAATCGTGGCCCTTTCAGATGCGATCTCTGTTAAACAAAGAACTCTAAGTTTTATGTTGGACGAGACGAACAACACAAATTATAAATATACGTTCTATATTCTCATCTTATTAAGTTCTTTATGGCGATCATTCTATTCCAATTTTTTTTAAAAAATGAATTTTACATAATAACTTACTTTAGGTAAATCTTAGTGGATATAAAATACATGAATCAACTCACTTCTTAATGGAAAATTTGGGATTATTTTTTCTAAGTAAACTTCTCACACACGGAGTGAACTGTAATCAAACTTCTCTGCTAATATCATTTTTTATTTCTTCCCGCAGATAATATCAAGCCTACTTGGCATTCTTTAAGGGATTTGGACAAAAACAAGTCTATCTGAAAAAGTCGACTTCAGTGCCTGAGTTGACCACGTTTCTTCATGCGATGAGCCGATGGTACGAATGGTCCGGATTTCCCAGGTGACGAGATCCCGAATCTTTTGATTCGCCGCTACGCTGGCGGCCCGGCGCGTCACACGTCGGAGGGGATAACAAAAACGCTCCGGTCGATGTCATTCCATCGGCAGCCGACTATTTTTTGGCGTAGTCTGTCCCACGCTAAAGGCGAATATATCAATTAAACGGTGAAGTGAACGATCTAAAGTATTCCAGCAGAACATCCGACCTAGGGCTGGTTGGATCAGGCTCAGGACCGAGTCTTGAGATAATCTAAAGCATATGGGTATCTCTCCCCTTGTGGCCTAAGCACAGCGTGGCAAGACCGGAAGGAATCTCCTCCAGCCGTCCCTACCCGTTACCCTCCCGCGTCTCTTTTCTCTTCTAGAAGCCCATCCCTCTCTCTTCCCCACCTCCTCTTCCTCTTTCCCTCTTACTTACTGGACGACAGGAGGGAAGAACGCGGCGTTGTAAGCATGGCGATCTTATCTCCCAGAGAACTAACGTCACCACGGGAACGGACAGAAAAGCCCAGTTGAACCGATAAAACCTTGGGAATGGTTAAAATGAGACGCCTCTCTCTCTCTCTCTCTCTCTCTCTCTCTGTGGACTAATAGATCAACCCGGAGCTTTCAGCTATCTTTGTCGACAGACCCTTCACATGCTCCCGCCTTCTCTGTCTTCTTCGCATTTCGTCTTTCCTCCCTTTCCGGATCCGCTGTTCTCTTCTTCTATTCCTCCCCTTTATGGTGGCGAGCTTTTATTTGGTTCGCATGGTTCAGCCTCAAGAGCAACGTGCGGTTGTATCTAACCAAATCTTCCAGATTGCGGTATTCTAGACTTCTTTATCTTTAGCCTTCAGAATATTACTTCTTAGGCTCTGAAGGCCTTAAGAGCCTAAGAAGTAAGGACTTCAGAGTAGATAAGGGTACAACAGTTATTAGCTAGAATAACGTGAGGACTCTTGGTGTGTTGAGGGGATTTGATAAAGCAACTGCATGGACATAGAGATCAAATTAGGTTCCAGGTCAAACACAATTGACAATGTGAGCTCCTAATAGAGCAAGAAAAGTTTTGCTACCTATAATGTGAAAAAAACGTAAGAATATGGATATCGGGTAATTTGTAACCTGTGTTCACGTCAACAAGATTTGATGCCTTTTGCATGGAAAAGTGTATGACAACTCTGTTCAATGTAGTGCTCATTAGGTTTGTAAAGGATACCACCAAACGATCATAGAAACATAGAGTTGAAATTCAAGATGTCGGATATGACTAATTGAGCAATTGCCTTTGAGAAACAAGTTGGCCCTTACAATACTTTGACAAGTGCATTATAAAAGTAGGATCGTGGGATAGAACTAGATTTGAGAAATATTGAATTACTAAGACTTTGAAATGGACCATTCTCTGGATTTTTTTCATGATGAATAAACTCTGGAGACAAATCCAATGTCTTCATCATTGTTTAGTTACGTAGCAATGTACTATTTTCAAAATAGAATTGGGTGATTAAGATTTGTGACCCTCAAATACATGCTAAAGGCGAGGGTCTCACAAGCTCAACCCATGTGATGAGTGACAATTCAGTGAATAATAGGTACACTAGTGATATGCCTACACCAACATTAAATTTGACGTAATATTATAAGGATGGTCATAAAATATGATGGTAGATTTGGACAGATTTGTTTAATTGAATATACTGGAACTTATAAATTTCAGGTACTGAAGTGAACTATTAAAAGGAGAGCTTATTTTTTTTATTTAGTCCGAAAAACAATCAAAATCATAGGGATATCTATGAAATGTAATTATTTATCAATCAAATAAAAATATTAGATTTATTCCAAATTACCTAGGTTTTGTTATTATGTAGCTCTTACTTCCTCACATTGGCCAACACTCGAATTTTTATGTTTTCACATCCCTCAGATAGGACACTTGCCACAGTGCTACTGTGGATTAGAAAGCATTCTAACTTAGTCAAGTATGTCCTTGGGATTGTTACACCAATAGAAAACATATGGCCACCTTTGAAAAGTAAGGTTCCCACTCAAGCTCTCTCTCTCTCTCTCTGTCCCTTCAAACTAGACCACCAGACCCAATAGTTAGGTTTGAAGGTCAGGATTAAATTACTATCTTGGGCCCCTCATTAAAGGTACTTGGATCTCAACTATAAATAGACGCAAAAAGCAAGTGGGACTTTGATGAGTCCAATGGCACATAGTGATCTTCCTTTAATCCTTACAATGCTGTCTCATTTAGACTCACCTCTTTTATTTCTTAGACTCAATTTTCTCCACGAACTGTTATGGCTGTCATTCCATCACCTTTGCTTCCTAGATGTCAAAACAGGTTTCATTACATGTCTTGAATAGAAAATTATGTCCTGACTTTTTTGATAACCAAACATTCGAGCTCCTAATTGGGAATTCTGTTATGGGCGAAATCCAAATCAAGAACATGGAAAGTGACATATTTGATGATGTCAAGAAGAAAATGTTAGCATACTTTCCATGAATTGTTCCTTGTAGATCATGAGGGCGTCTTAAACATTCATATGTTTTTTTTCAAAAATTTGGGTAATAATATCCAATGAAATATGGGTAGCATATTTATCTACATGGATTTTGCTCCTAATTTAATGATTCAATGCAATAGGGGGATTTACAGACATAATGAATATTTTTTTTATGTATATCACAAGACCAAAATTTTGAAATCAACTCTTATAAGATACTACCCTCTCAAGTTGTTCTGCTTAGATATTCTTTTGTTCTGCACTAGTTGCATTAAAGAATGAAATTAAAAGTATGCAAAAAATCATCGATCTAGTTGGAATCAGAGTGGCAAAGAGTAGTCTAGTGATCCAAGTGTAGAGATGTGAGGCGATCCCTCTCCTTGGGGTTCCAAGTTTAGCTAAGCTCATTGCCCAACTTGTCAGCTCATGGGAGGGCTTGATTTAGTATAATTACCCGGATCAGGTTCAGTAATGTCTTCTTGTGGGCGATTCTTCACCCAATTGCTGAATTTAGAATATTTTTAAAATAAATAAGGTTATCACAAAGTGCCGAGACCTCCAGGGCAAAAAGGGCTGCGGTGAGGGTCGCAATCGGCGGCAGAAGCTGGACGGTAGATTCTCTCTCCAACCCGCCGCCACTGGAGGGGCCAACTTGGCTCCATGACCTCATCGTAGCGCTGGCGGCCCAGCGCGTCACATGACCACCGTACGGTTCAACGTACTGGGGAGTATTGTTAGAAAATCAGACGTGGTGGGCCGGTCCACTTTGATTGGGTAGGCGAAAGCTGAGGTCGTCGGAAATGTCGACACGTGTCTCATTGGTACGACTTCCCTACGTGGACTTGACGAGGCTGTCTGGTAGACTCTCGAGATCACCGTATTGCCCACCAGTTCCCCGATTGGAAGAAATATCTGTGGGATTTTATTATCGGGAATACTGCTTTTAAGGTACTCCGGGGGAACAACAGAGAGTGGGCTACCCTTTCCCAGGGCTTGGACGGAGACTTTCCACCCGACGCACCAAAAGCAGTATCTTCTTTCTAGGTGCTCCCATTCAAGATATTTTTATTACAATTTTCTAGAAGACCCACTCATTATTTTTTATTATCTTGAAAATCATAACATATAAAATATTGCATTATTACTTTTCTGCGTATAAGTACAATCATCTTCACGAAGGAGGGAAGGGTAACTATCGAGGCAGTATACGTGACGTTGGCGTTCGGGGTTCCAGGTCAAATCCAGCGTACGGAAGAGCCTTACGGTAATGAAGCTGAGGGTGATGGGAAAATACACATTCTATGGGGGGTTTTGTCAATAATGACCATATAATGCGGGTAATTTGTAAAATTCGAGATGAAGGCATCTCAGGACGGAATCTCCAGAAGGGGCTGTGTCACGGTGATCCGTCAACCTTCTCTCTCTCTCTCTCTCTCTAGGTTTATCCAATGCCTACCTCTCTCACTCTAACGTCTTCTCTCTTCCGAGGAGGGTATGTCCGGGGACGGCTTGAGAGGCGAGCGGTCGGGGAGACGATCTTATCCCCGGGCACCTGACGTCACCGCCAGATCGGACGCGGAGAGCCGAGTTGTCTAGAAGTGGGCAGTAGATGTGGGCTTCTCTCTCTTCATTCACTTTCTCTCTCATCCGCGCAACGTTGTCGTCCCTCACGCGACGCCGCGACTCGGAAGACTTGTTCTAGCTGTCTCCGATCCTCCCCATCGTCCCCACATACGACTAGCTTCTCCTCTGTTTTCTTCCAGCCTCCTCTTCCCAAGCTCGTCTCAACCTCGATCTTTCCTGCTCCTACAGAAGGCGCCCCATCGTCCTCCTTTTCCCCTCAATTCTTCGTTGTCCCCTCCCTCTCTCTCTCTTTCTCTCTCTGTCTCTCTCTCCCCCTGTCTCCGGCTTCTTTGTTTCCTTCCTGAGTTAATACCTCTCGGCGGAACTTGTTCTTCCGATTGAAGATTCTTCCCATCCTCGTAACCCACCTGCGTGCACCATCTTTGATGTCGTCTTCTTCATCGCCTTTCTGGGCTGTTCTCTCCTTCGAATAAACGACCCTTCATCCCGCTTAGAAGACCAGATTCATTCCGTGTAGACTTGAAGAAACCTGGAAGGAGGCCATCGGAAAGGATCCGGGCTTTAAAAATGGATCTGGGTTCGATTTTCTCCAAAGCGGAGGAGAAAGAGAGGAGCTATCAGGACTATCTATATGCCCTCCAGGAGGAACGAAAGAAGATCCAGGTCTTCCACAGGGAACTGCCCCTTTCCCTTCACCTCGTGACCTACGGTGAGTACGTAGAACTTGTGGGCCTCATCGATCTTCGCGGCCCATCTCGGATTTTGCCTTCTTACGTTTGAAATCCTCGGAAAAACTAAATCTTTCTGTTAATTCGGTGTTTTTCCGGAAGCTATTGAGAGCTGCCGGCGACAGATTGCGGCGGAGCTCTTCCCCCCGAGGGCTGACTTCCGGTCCGGGCATGAGGACGAGGAGTTGATCAGCGACGGCGCCCCCGCCTTAGAGGAATTCATTCCCATGAAGCTCAATTCTAGCACGCCGGAGGTCGACGACGAGGAGTCCGGCGACACCGCCATGAGGAAACGCGACTGGCTGAAATCAGTTCAATTATGGACGCCCCATCCGAGTGAAAAGGACGACGTAAGGATGCCCCATTTCCACTTACGGCAGTTTTTATTTCTGTCAAGGGAATTTCAAAGTTGATGGATTCCTCCTCCCTTGTGATCGATCATTTTAGAAAGCCCCTTGGATGCCAGTTTCTGGGAAGGAGAACAAGTCCACCATTACATTCCTCACTTTCCTCTCGCAGAAGCGGCCCTTCCAAGAGCCGGTGGTGCTCTCAGTGGACACACAGCCGGTGCCAGCTTCCTCTCCGCCGCCGCAGACGGCGAGTTCCACTTCTGAGACCAGAGGAATGAGAGGGAGCAGCTCCAGCGGCGCAGATGAGAAGCGCCCACAGACCCACCGGAAGACTCGCCGGTGCTGGTCCCAGGAGCTCCACCACCGCTTCCTCGACGCCCTGCACCAGCTCGGCGGCACCGAGGGTAACTCTCTCTCTCTCTCTCTCTCTCTCTCTCTCTACGTGTGTATATTTCTGTGGAGTGATTTCTGAAAGAACGAAGTTGAGATCCAATTATGTTTTATTCAGTGGCGACGCCGAAGCGGATCAGGGAGATCATGAAGGAGGACGGGCTGACCAACGACGAGGTGAAGAGCCACCTTCAGGTATGTACTCACCACAACATTTTGATAACGTGTTCATTTACCAGGTCGTCAATTATTCATAGAATTTCATGCCATCGAAAATCGTAGTCATTTTCATGACGTTGACCTATAAAGTTTTGTCATTAATTGCATCAATACAACATATTTACGGAGACTTTTTGCTGTTCTTAGCCGACGGTTGCATAACTTAAGATAATCCCACGTTAAAACCGACCAATTAAATCATAAGATTAAAAAATTATAATATGTGGATTCCGAATCGAATTATATGGGACGTAGTTTTCTGAGATTTTGACTCATTCCTAGCGGTTTCTGATTGTGGTGAACATCGTTTCAGAAATATCGTTTGCATTCGCGGCGCCCATGCCACACGTCCCAAGGCAACTCTGGAAACGCTCAGCATCAACAGGTTGTCTTCGTCGGCGGCATATGGGTGCCCTCGTCGGACTACACCGCCACCATCGCCGCCGCCACGGAGAGGCGACCCACGGCGAAGCAGGCCGCAGCGGGTCCTTAGGAGCTCTTTCATGGGTGAAGTATTGAAGCAGGCCGGTGGAGAACCCTCCGACGAATCCGTCCCAGAGGAAAGAGGCGGTGGGGGTTAGGATATGGCTCCGAACACTACCCTCTCCCAGAGGCCCTCTTCTTTTCTTGCCCGTTGGGGGCATGTACAGTGCTCTGCCGTCAGATTCCCTGTCTGTTTCTCGCTCTTTCCGGGGTCTTCCTCGGCGGACCACTTGAGGACGACTCCCGGCCTTGTCCGAACGAGAGTCCACGTGAATGAGCTCGTGATTTTCATGTTCTTTTTCCCGTGAGAATCTATGGGGCAGGCGTATAACTTAGACATGTAATCCGATAATCGCGTCCGTTGAAATGTATCCTAAGCGAATCGATTTTTCCATTGACTCTCTGTCTCTGTCTCTGTCTCTGTCTCTGTCTGTCTGTCTCTCTCTCTCTCTCTCTTAACTGTCCACGGTTTTCTGTAATCTGGATAGAATAGTGGATGAAGACGCTTCACAGTATTTGTCATGATAGACGCTGGATGAAATTGAAACGCCGAGGGCTACCCATCACCTCTCATCTTCCCTCCTAGAATTACGCTTTCCTTTCCTTTTCTGGCCACATGTATGGATCTGAGCTCTCTTGCATTTCATTTTTAATGTAACTTACTGATAGAGGAGATTCCCACCATCTTCTCACAACTGTTTTGGAAATCCAATCTGGGTCCAGAAGTCTTATGCTCCTGCATGCTTTAAAAAGAGAAAAGTTTGTGCTCATAGCATGCTTATAAACTACCGATTAATCGTCATCAAATTGATCAAAGATCCATCAAAGAGAGAGAATTGACGAAGTTGCGAAAAGTCTACTATGTGGACGACACCGAGGCTTTTATAATCTAACCCGCGGTTCCTCAATACCTACGCGTACCAACTGAGACCAGACATGGCCCGACACTTGGTGACGTCAGATATGCGCGAGGTCAACGTTTCTGCGTTCGAGATGCGAATATTCATTGAATTTGGACACGTTGAAGAGTTACATACTCTCTGGACGTCCTCAGGCTGGCCGTACTCCCATGGAACCTTATCTCTCATGTCAGCCTCGGAATTAATTAATGATGAGTTAGTTGCACGCATACCCTTATCAAACTTTTCACTTTTAACAATACCCACTTCAAAAAAAATAGTTTTTTTACACGCCACTGGGCTTAAGTCTACTCAGAGGCATCACCACCCCTCCAGCTTGCTGAGGGAGGGGGGGCGGAAGAAGGGCCTTCCATTCAAGATGGTTTTGTTGGAGATTACATAATTTTCAGTCCTCCGTGTTAGTGGACTACTTTCACAGAAAAAGACTTGCAAGACAACTTTTGCACATAAATCCTCCTGATAACTTAAGCGAGTGGCATAGACCTTTTAGTCCCGGTGCATCCCATCCACCCTCTTCGACTCATTGACAGGGGGCAGAAATTAACAGTTTCATATGATATGTATAATTCGCTATATTGTGGGGAGGGATGTGAGTAGAAGAGACTTTAACTTATATGATAATTCGCTTTCAGTGGATGCGACTGAGATAATAAGCCACGTTCGTCGGAACTGGCTGGCATCCGTGGAGGTGGCTAATTAAAAAATAAGTTTGAGTCAGATGATATGATTATTTTTTATTGGCGCTACCTGCCGCTGTTCTTCCTCACAGCTTCTTCTCTTGAGAACCAACCCGTAGGGTCTGCGGGGAGGCTATCGGATTCAGTTTGGGGGTTGGAGTGCGGGGATTGGCTGGTGGGTATCCAGACTCTAGTTGCCTGCCTGCCTTAAGATTCCCTTCAGAAACTTTGCCTCAACGCGTTACTGCAAGTGTATGTATTCTAGTCAGGTCGGGAAGGATATTCTCTTCGGGGAAAGCAACAAATGCCGATTAAAATGGCTCAAGATGAAAGATGGAGTTGACCGTCTAAGAGATCTGGACGGAAGTGGACACAGAGAGAGAGAGAGAGAGAGAGAGAGAGAGAGAGAGAGAGAGAGAGAGAGAGAGGGTACGTACGAAACCGAAAATAATATAAAATTCTGAAATGACCAAAAGTACAGCTCAATCAGTCGGATAAATGAATGGAGGACATTCACTGCAAATCATCTTGTTAATGGCTACGAAGCAGCCGATGGAGAGGTAGAGCATCAAGAGATGATATGACCATAATATCAATTTCTTTATAGTATCGAGAAAATTTGATCTGTTGATCGATTAAACAAATGTGGGCGCGCATCTCGGTTGGAAATAAATGTGAGCTCTTACAACAAAGTCACCGTACCCTGTCCTAGATAGTCAACTACTTGACCACTAATAGCATCTTGACCTCGTCTTCGTGATTGGAAAGGCTTCTACTTAGCGGAAAGAAAGAAAGATGTCTAAGGCCGATGCACCACGTCAACCAAGTTCTCTAGTTCTCTTTGTTGGTTAGGATAGGAACCATCTCATCCAGCCAAGAAAATCAAGAGCTCTTTAAGCTTCCATCTGCAGACTTCGAACATGATCAGTAGGAACACCAGCCATCCGACCATCAGGTTTAGTACGCAGGTTAGTTTCCTCACCAATCAATGCCCAGATAAATAAATAGCTTCATAGGAATAAATAATTATACAGCTCATGATCCTCCGTCCACCAGGAACCGGGACATTGCCTCTCCAGAAAAGGATGATGAACCTTTTTTTTTTTTTTTCTGAAAAATATCGTGGTCTATAGTCATGCATGACTCCCTCTATACAGCAATGGCAAGGCTCATGTACGGAGTATTAAAAGCAATGTGCGTTAGTTATTGAAGTTGGCTGTCAGCACTTGGTCAGAATTTCTGCTCCTGTTCTTGTAATCAACAGTGTGTGCTCAAATTGCGCAGCAGGGCTCCCATCGGCTGTGAGGGTTGTCCAGCCGTCATCACATGTCACACAATCAATGCTGCCCATTGTGAGGATCGGCTCTGCAAATATGGGCCACAGAGATCATTCAGATATCAGAGAGTAGCTTCATCCTCGGCATTAATGTAACGATAGTTTTGCAAAATTAACAGACGACCATGAATGAATAGAGAGAGAGGTGGTAGATGAAAATAAATGACTCGAACAAGTATGCAAACAGAATAGGTAAAGAGTCCAAATATGCTAGATACGTCACATAGGGATAGCTTCTTGATTATCCACGCACAACATCGCTGAGAGAGCCGGAATATGAAATGGAGAGGGACTGGAACCAAGAATTTAGACAGCAGATTGTCATGAAGACCACAAATGATGATGAACCCAGTAAGCATTTCTCCAATAAAATATTTAGTGAAGGCAAACATTAGATATCCAAGAAATTTTTTTGCGATTTATAGCCTAGAATAAAATGGGCACCAGAGCAATGACACTAGAGAAAAAGATAATGAGCCAAGTTAGTAGGAACACAACCAGGACCCTCAACCTGGAGTATTTGCTTTCAGTATAAATCCAACAATTTCCCATCATTATGCATCTTGATGACTAGCATGATGACGGATGCGCAGATGCAGATAACTAACAATACCTGTCATAAATTTATACATAGATATATATGGAAGGCCAGAGACCACATCAGTACCTGTACTAAATCAAAGACTGGACAAGCATTTTTACCATACTGATCATATCTTGGTGCAGAGATAAAGATGCATGACATTATTTTACTCCAATAACTATTGATGCACTTTGTTTATTCTTTCCCACATTATCATGAGCACAACCTTGTATAATTAAATAAGGTTTTGGGTGACCTGATGTCTGTTGAACCAGTGTCAAAGCATTATGAGATGATTTTGTGACATTATGAATTAGCAGAATAGGAGATAATTTATGGTCTATAGAGGGTCCTTCTGCACTATAAATGCATTACCTCAAGACATAGGCGATGCATGTCTCATGAAATACTTTATAATTTACCGGTTTGCCTCTAAACAAATTCCTATTTGAGGTATAAGTTGGGTGGATAGATACATTAAATTTTCAAATCTTCACCTAATATTTTTTATATTAAAAGGAAACAGACGTTGAATCTTGTAGGGTTTAACCAAATAACAAAGGGATCCACAAAACAAAAGGAAGAAGACACACTGTAATGGGCCGGCTATTTCCGTATTCATCTCCTACACATGTTTATTTCTTCTAAGATCGTTCCAAAGATTTCGATCTTAAACAGTATAATGTCGTTTTATTTGAGATTAGTCCTCAAATGAATGAAAAAATGAAATAATGCAGAATCTGCGACCTTGATTATAGACACGTTCCATGGGAGCTTCACATCTCACCGATCACAATCCTAGATGTACTTTAGGTAAAATAAGAAAAAAAAACAAGAAAGCAACTCCCAATCCTGATATCTGTCCGTGCCATATCCATCCCCACAAATCCATGTAGAGTTCATAGAAGATGGTGAGTTGTCATCAGCTGAGCTGGGCAGCGATTGAGGTAAGAGACAGCTGAATAGATTATCTATGTGAAGATTGAGATAACTATTTGAGCCCAAGAGACTTTTCTCACACAACTGAACACCTAAACACTGACGAACATGATCAGATTCCCAAGCTATTCTATCTCCTAAGAGAGTACATCTTCATGATCTCAAAGTCCTTTCCCATGGTACCAAGTAACCGTGGCAATAAATAATTTTAGATAAAAGTTTATAGAAGATGCCATATCAATCCTGGAAACAAATATCGAGTTCAGATTAATATTAAATTGTTATTTGGATGAGCGAAATACACTTAAATCCCATATTATATGAAAACGAAAGAAATAACTGATTTTCAAGATGCTCAGGGGTCAACACGTGAAGAAACGGTGAAAACATAAAAATCAGGTGTTGATGTTCATAACAGAAACGAAGATCGAAGTCTACAAGTACCAACACCTGTTAACAATTTACACCTACGATAGAATGTAAGTCCCAATATTTGTGTGAAAAACATAGTGGTTTATGCATGATTGACACTTGAAGTTGTTAATTTTTGACACCCATAAACGAACATCGACAGCAAAACTTCAAGGGTTGATGTCCAAAGTTTAAAATATGAACACTGGAAATAGAAGTATCGGCATTTATAACAACATGCCGCAGGCAAAGAAAGAAATACAAGTGTCAATACTCGCACAAGTCAAGTATCAACGCTTGCCAACGCAACTAGAAGTGTTGAAACCTAAAACCAAAATGGTAGAAAAACTCTGGCGACTGGAACGATATTTCTGATGCTGAGTCAAAACAATCACTGAAATCTAACTTCCCAAAAATCTTCTTGTGCTTACCAATAGTAAATGTTTGTCCTTCAACCATATGACCAGGTTTATCATTGCCTGAAAATCAGATAATTACTTATTATAATAACAGCAGAGATACAAAGTCTGAGAGTTGAAACTACGAGAAGCAAAATCATTAAGTAAAGATGGTTCAAATAATCTCACGAAGAGATGGCAAACCCTTACAGTATCTTTAGTTATAGGACTTTAAGCTGAAGCATGAATCGTGGTTCAGTAATCTAAATTGTCTTAAAATCAATGCAGTGGTTAAAAATTAACATCAGTGAAACAATCTTAGGTGTAGAACAAATGATACTTGAGGAAAAATCACGAGAAAGCAATAAGACAGGAATGGTAGCAAAAAACATGACTGCACTGAAGAAAGAATAAACACACCTAGCACTCGAAAAGCTTAATGACAATTCAAAATTGTAAATGAATTTTAGAGTATTAAATTTACTTCCAATAGACTCCAAAAGACTCTGCAAGAGGAATTATATGAATCGTTGGAATATAATATTTATCAACCTCAATACACTAAATGGACCACGATCTGTTGGCCATGATCATTCCACAATAGATCCCCTAAGTTTGAAAATGAAGCCAACCAATAAGAATGTAGAAGAATAAGTAAATAAAAGGATTACATACGATGATGAATGATGATTGGTTCAGAGTGAAATATGGTCCCAACACCATGGCCCACAAAACGCTCAACCACACCATAGCCAAATCTCTCCGCATGTTCACTGGAATTACATTATTTAACGATGTTAAAAAATAATAAATTTTCCCAATGATATTTAATCATCAGAATACAAAAATTAAGCTATAGAGCACATAAATCCTTTAATAAATTTTAATTAATTGAAAGACAATAAATAAACATTTAACGAATGATACGTGTCATTGCAAAAATACCCCAGATATGACTTATGATGGAGCATTGCTTCTAATCTTTCATCTAATCCAAAACCTCCTGAAAAGACTAAAGGTTCATTTTGTCTTCACAAGATCAAATACGCATAAGTAAGATAGCAGTCACCAGGTCATCAAGGAACAGTTGTGGCGAAAATTTGAAAACAGAGAATTTTGTTTAACAATATTTTTACCACATCCCTATGTATGGCTAATGAAGTAATTTAGCATGCCTGCCACAAAATCTTAAACATGACAAGCCAAACTGTTTCTGAACAGATGAAAAAACCAATCAATACAGAGGACATCTCCACCATGAAAATAGAGATTCCTTACCTTCAAAAGCCCTATTAATATTCGACCCAAATAATGAGCTAAATCAAATTGTTGGCTGATCCATGGGACTAAGTTCTAGGAGAAAAAAATTCTTGGTTTGACATTATAAATAATTCTCCCTGATAATAAATTGTTTCCTTTCTTTCTCAACATAACACGTTCTACTAGGATTATCATACGTTATGTTCATTTCGATTACAAATAAATCACGATAAATCATTAAAATGCAACTGCCGCTACCGAATGCTACATTATTCGTAATGAACGTATTATTACTGTATTGTCTCGATGAAGTGAAAACTGCATACCTTATTCTTCTACCAATTTTTCTGAAGTTAGCACCGTCCTTGCATACAGATATTGCTTTCTCTAAGCACTCTTCAGTTACCTAGAGAAAAGAAATTAAGTTCTTAGAACCAAGGCAATATTTATGAAAGAAATATGAACAAATATTCAATAAGTAGAAAAATGCCTAAAAATACCTAAAAATAACTAAAGGTTTAATAAGTAGCCACATTGATCTAAATACCTTTCAATTTTTTCAGATCTAACGTGTTCTAAACAGAATAATCTGATTTTATGAGATGCGTGACTAATTTCAAAAGAATTCAAACACTTAAAACCTAGTAAAAGAAGCAGATGGGAAGATTAAATCAGCAGTGATTACAGCGGTGTACAAAATCCAAGGTCCTCATCAACTTCCTCTGTTCTTTCTAATGGGTCTATCAAGCTGTTGTCAAATTTAGGACTAGAGTTTTGAGAAAGCCTGGGTACATAAAAGAGCTGTACCTGCTTTATCAATAGTAACAAGAAACAAAGTAGTGCAGAAGCAGGACTAACAAGATATAATGATCATTCACTGTGCCGAAAAGATCTTTCATATAACCTAGGGTGATTCAAATTCATTTCTTGAACAGCCGTTTTGTAAATGATCAAGGTATCTATGGAATATTAACTAGTGAGAGCAAAGATAATTGAGTTCAAATATAGAATTACAAAGATAAACGATGTCAATAAATTTCTCAGAATCAAGATTCGTAATGTCCAATAGAAATAGGAATTTGTCAAATAAATAATGAAAGAGTAAGCAATCCTACTTTCGCTACCCATTTAAAAGGAGCGTAATTTTATAAAACGTATAATTTTTTTATTAAAAACAACCTGAAAAATAATGTAACAACACCATTTCCATTGCCCACTCATGACACTAGAAATCCAGACAGTAAGAAATGAGATCCATAAAGGTAACAGCGTTTCCATCATGCATATAAAAAGAATGACTCAGTATAAATAAAACGTAGATGAAATTAGAAGTAACATTATACACCATCCAATAAGCAAATCAGCATTGTACGCACCACATCAGATGAAAAATATGAATGTAGATGCTGTTTTATCATTTAATGGTACCCATAGGCCGTAATATAAACAATCATACACACAATGTAAACCTACATCTAGGTTAAGGGAGAGCAGGTCATACTCATGTATACCTACATCTAGGTTTCAGAAATTACAGTTACACAAAGCACAATACACTGCATCATCAGGCAATTTCTATGTGCAAAAAAATCCCATCTTCAGTCCAGGAAATTTGCAGAAGAAAGGATAAAGACAAAAACAATTATCTTTCTGGCGTTCAACATTCATCACCTCACACTTCTGACAATCAATTTCTCATTTTAGTTTTAAAATTCATCACCACACCAGAATAGGTTGACAGTAAAAAAAGGATAAAGGTCGTTAATCTATTAATCCAAATCACAAGGTATTTTTCATATCTTTTGCACATAATTATGAAACACTTCTAGAAGTGGCAACGTCAGTTGGCCTTCATCTAGTTGACAGAGCAAAATGATCAAAGGAACCCTATCCATATTTCAATAAGAGCTTAGAAAGAGCTGGACGAATCCGATTAATAACAGAGCGTCAATGCAACCATTACCCAAGCCAAATATATAAGCATACCCTTACGAGGCGTTTCATTGATTCATCAACATTTCCACAGAAGTAAGTTTTCGAGGTGTCCCCATGGTAGCCCTAGAACAGAAAAAAAAATCATTTACAAAAAGAGAAAAAGCATACAAGAATTTTAAGAGAAACAAGATAAAACTTTGTACGAATAACAGATGTCAATAACGATATAGGGAAAGAAAATACAAAACATCAGAAGAAACTAAGATTCACTTCACAAAGCAACACAATGCTAAAACTGAAGACTCGTCACATGTGATAAATCAAAAACCAAGTACTGAGCAAGGTAGAAACGTTGCACTATTACAGTCCATTAGGTTATCCATTAGGTATTGATGACTTTCTCAGATGCCTTCTGTCAACTTATCTCTCTGATCTAAAATTGACAGTTCAGACACATTATGAAGGTGTTATCTTCTATGTGATTTCAGGAGTCAAAAGGGGTTGCAATTCAGGACCAATGTAAGCCAGTAGAAATCTTTGGTATCCTCAATAATGTCCGGTTCACAAAGTCTTAATCTCATATGAACCCTCAAAGTTCTTTCTTCTCTGTTATATGACTAACTATTGTTTTACAATGAAAATGAGTAGGCTATTTCATAATGTCCAGCCTTCCTTTTCAATCTGTTTATTAACTATAAGAGTGGCGCATACAGCAGTCAAAGGCAGATAATATGCAATACTCCAAGATGCCTGAGATGCATGACTTGAGGATACACATAGGTTGACCCTATGTCCTCTGATTAACTTCTTCATTTCGTTTTGGTATAGAACATATTTCAGAGAATGTGACAGACCCGAAACGTGAGACCAAGAAGACCTGAGAAGGTAAAAGGTGGAAACACAAATAAAGTCCCATCTAAGTAGCCCAGAAGCTCAAAAAGAATTTTCTTCCTGTGCCCACAGTGTTTTCCTTTTCTGGGAACTCTTATTTGTTAGTATATTTTCTTATCAAATCCCATTCTTTGAGAGATATAAGAATCCTCCGTGCCTATTAAAATAGGTCTACATTGCTGGAGACATTTTTCACAGTAGTTAAAACTTTATTTCCATCACCCTTGAGGATTCAAGACTTCCTTTCATGTTCTATGAGCTGATGCTATGCTCAAAAAGTTTGAAAATCAAATTCCCTACAAATATCGAAGAACAGAACAAGAGTGAGATCTTTTTGAAAACTTGTTGACCGCCTACTCCAAAGCAGAAAAACCTATTGATAACCTAGTTCAAGCTTGGATACCTTCAAGTGGTTTATCTCAAGGTTGAACAATTCTTGAAGGCCTAGCCCAAGGCTAAAAACGTATAATAGCCTACCCCAAGACTAGAACGAGCCACTTGTGTCAAAAGGTTTGAAATGACAACCGCGGTGGTAAAAATAAATAGTATCTGAAAGCTGCAACTTAAGTTTGACAACAAAGTGCATTATATTTTGTACTCTATAATTGACAGAAAAGGAGCCTCTACCAGCATCCATCCAACACTATTTGAAAATAAGGAACCCATGGCGAGAAAATATAAACGAACAAGAACCATATTTAATTCATAATAAACAGAGGCCAGGTAATTCTGTATGCATAAAGAGATGAATAGTAAAACACGAATTTTTTTATCAATTGATAGAGATTGTAAAGGACATATCAAATTAATGATACAACCACATGTAAAGAAAAAAGCAATTTAAGAGCATACATTGAGGTAGACAGTCACATCAATGTTTATTATGTCACCTTCCTGCAAAAAATAAAGTATTAAAACTGGAGGTGAAGGAAAATCAACCCAACGTTTCATTCTGAGCTATGGTCAACAGCATGAGATAAAAAGAATTTGAGATCTCAAGACCTGCAGTTGTCGGGAATCAGGGATTCCATGGCACATGCACTCATTTACTGATGTGCATACACTCTTTGGAAATCCTCCATATCCAAGGGGTGACGGATAAGCTCCAGCATCAATGATCATCTCGTGCACTGCTTTGTCAATTTCATTTGTTGTTACAGATGGCTGATAAAAAGATGTTATCTTAGACATGCTCAAAATAATACCATTTTACCAGACACCTTGAAGACAATGAGCACAAAATCACAACCTATTGGCTACAGCCATCTCATTTTTCATAATTGTAAGCATGCGTAAGAAAAAGATCATGTTGATGATCAGAACAATGTAATTAATCAACAATATAAAATGGGAAAATTCTAATAAAAGAAAGAAAATCCAAACCACATTAATCAACACCTATGATTCTGAGGGACGTGCAAAAGATGTACCAATCTCCATTAGTGTCTTACTTCTTCCAACCCATTGCTAAGAACTCAAAGCCAATTTAGGAAAGATAACAAACCTTAAAATCTCTGGGCTCCAAAGAAATCCACAGAACCATGTTCTGTGGATTTGAGTTCCCACCACTGAGCTCCAATTGCCACAACTAAATAGATAGACGAAAACGAATACTCTTTCCTTTAAAATTGCCTGAGAGCATATGGAGAGAAATGTGCATGAAAAGCCACTTTATTCACTTTCCTATGGGCACAGGAAAGTGAAATGATATTTAATTGGAAATGATTGTTTTCTTCTATAGACGAATCAGATATGAAGAGATCAAAAAAAAGCCATGGGAGTTTGACCAAACATTCGTTTTTGAAATCTGCCGGTCAAAGGTCCTCAAATCCCCTGGCCAGAACGACCTAAATTAAACCAGGATACACTATTATGAATCTTCCCACTGAAGATTAAAACAAGAGTGATATCAAGAACAAAGACTGTTCAAAAATGGAAATGCCTTTACGCCAGCCTACAAGGTACACTCAACAATGAAAAGGTATTCGCCCTTGAAATTTGAGTCTGAAAGGGTTGCAGCTGGGTAAGATCGTTTGCAACAGAAAAACAGTATACATCTGTTTTCATTCAAAAATAGACGAACTGGGTGCGTCTATTTCTGAAAAGCAGTATACATCTACTTTTAAAAAGCAGAATTTTCATCCCTGGTAAATGATGACATTACAGCTTTCTTTAACAGATGAGGACTGAACCAGACAGATCCATTTTACCTCTTCTGTATTTTTTATTCACCGATAAAAACCAAGTTAATGTGGGCAATTGGATACATCAGTAATGAGAAATCAGGATTGGCGAAGACAACTTAAGGAGTATCACTTGATATCGATGTAGGAATCAATCTATAACAAGATGTAAAAATATGATAATCTGATAATATTTTTCCCTTGAATCAATAAAGCTTCATTATAAATAGCTTCCCAACGTCTTTTAGAATCAGATAGCATAAGCAGAATCTCAGAGATGTTCGGCAATGGAGCAGAATCCCAGCGATAATCCTTTTTGCTTTCTCTAGAATGTTTATTCTGTAGTGAACTTTCAAAGTACCAATAATGCCGAATCTCTCAAGGCAAGAAACACTGCCCATACCGGATCACCTGAGAAGATGCATGTAAATGACGGGTCTACATTTCCCACAAGAGGCAGATCATCGCATTTCAAGTCTTTCTTTCTCGTGTTGTCCTAGTAACCACTAGTTTTGTTCCAGTGTATCACGATTGGTGCAATAAATAGTTTGACAGAATAGCTACAAATAATTTTCTAGAATCCCCTCAGATCTGGGATAAGACTACCAGTGAAAAGGTCTTAAAAGTAAATTGTGGCATGAGATCTTAAAAATATAAACAAAAGAGTCTCATACATATTATAATACCAAGTTTCGAGCTAAAATAAACGAATGTCACTTTTTTTCAAGATGATAACGATGAATGTTAAACTTTCACAAATTTGAAGAGAAGAAATTTTAAATCTGAACTGGAAAGAAAAATGATTGTTCTGCTGCTACATTCTAACAAAGTACACTTTTTTTTCCAGATTCTAATGTTACTGGTTTATGAAATCGGGGGAGGCTAAAACCATTCAATAATGTATCACTAATTCAACCATTTAACCATAGAATCAATCATTAATTGCTGTTGCAAAGATGGAATCATAAGAAATAACTCAAGTTGAATTTCTCTCATAAAACTAATTCTCACCCGAACCAAAGTTCCTGCATAATCAAGGACACGTGCAGCAAGCTCACATGCAGCCCTCATGCGAGCAATGCCCTCTTCATCATGAAACTGAGGCTCGCAAGAAAGTTCTGGCAACACACTTGAATTCACATATGGAGGTTTGAGAATGTGATCCGGCACAGGAAGACGTCCAGAGACCTTTCCACACCTTAACGGCTGTCTTTTCTTAACCTTCGTAGTATTCTGAAGCTCCCTTAGCCTTAAAAACAATGAATCAATTTATTCAAAGAAAGGTGATGAGTCATTTTAAATAAGTTACGTAAATATCCAGATTTAAGCGATCAGAAGCTCAGCATTCGGAAAATTGATTAGTGGCTCATACCGCAAGCCTGTATTTCACAAATGATCCAAAGTCATGCCATAAAATATGCTCTGCATTCATTCCACACCAAAATGTAGTATATTCTGTTATTTCATTCTAAATAGTGTCTTGACACCTAATCTATTTATTAGTTCAACATCACTAGAGATAAAGGAAAACATAATTTGAAGGAGAGAATGCAGTAAACTCATGTGACATCGAATTCAGAAAAGAACTTAAGGAGGTCATGAATTTGAGTTATGTTGAATGCAACCTTATCCACATACATTCATGAAAGGAAACTTCGCAGTGATATCATCACTACAAATTTTCTTAGATGGGAGGTCTTGGTATCCAGTGAAAGAATTTTGAATTGATGAAAGTGATTCTAACAGAAATCAGATTTGTCATGGGCAACATACTCACATGGTGTTACTTAAATATACTTGCCAACTTCAAGAAGTACATAGAAACATAATTACTATAATTTCAGATAAAAGACGTCAATTATCAAACCAATAACTGTAGGGATTGATGTGCAATTGGTGTGTTACCGAGAAGTCTTTCAAAATGACGAATCAGATGAGACATAATTTCAATGGATTCATGAAGTGATGTAGTGGTCGCTCACTTGCAACTGTTATAAAAATATAAATCCCCATCATATCAAAGGAGAGATCTCCATCTTGGCAAAAAATAGTCATTTTCAGCTACAGTGGGGAACACCTGGAATTTAGGCTGCTTTCAAGTACTGTAGACAAATTTCAGCATAACAACTGTTCCAGTTCACTTAGAAGTATCTCATGACGGCATTCACTGTTGTCCCAAAGGTAACTCAAGTGTTTTCTCGTTCCCATTAAATACTTAGATTCTCCTGATTTCCATCTTTTCCTATTTGTCAAAAGAAATATAAAATTACGTTTGAATTTTAAATTATTATAAGTAAATTAAGCCTTACGAAGTAACAAACTCATCCCATGTGTAGACATCTTCCACATTGATCAAAGGTACGTCCAAAGTCTTTTCCTCTGATTTTTATTTTTTCGAATTTTAAATTAATTTTTAAAAACTGTATAAAGCGAATAACATTATGCAAAACATTCTGTTTCATGATGTAGATTTCATCCAAACAATGAAAAGATAATATTCACGAGTTATCTAGCCAAAAAAACTTGACCTCAAGCTCGAATTACACGGGGTATCATTAAAGAAGCAAATCTGTCACTTGGATCCCTGATTTGGTTAATATACAAGCCTGAAACGGTGCTGGAGAGTGTTCATACGTCAGACTAAGTGTTTGAATGTTCTTAACTACATTTATTATTGAACATAACCCCCTTTTCATATCATCTAACTAAAGCCATGTTGAAGAGCGATATCTTACATCTAGTGGAACTTTTGGACAGTATGGAACTTGTGAAATAGATTAAATGCACATTGCAAGAACAAACCAAGTTGAGTTCTCTGATAAATGTGCCTCTGTCAAACTGACTGATCAGGAAGTGAATCTCATCTTGCAGTCAGACAGTTCAAAACATGATCAAAACCATCCGAACTGAACTATGTCCAAAAGAGCAAATTATGTACAAGATCTTAAGAAAGGACGAGAGTCAAAGATTACTTAGATGAACATTCTGCATTGCCCTCACAACATTTTAAGAAAACATGAAAAAGTAATCCAAAATTTTACACTTGATCAAACTTTAAATTAGGTATTATAAAGTATCTATTAGAAGTACCACACAAGAGATGCAAGCAAGAAGTTATTGAATTCACCAATGAAACATGCGGGCATCCAATAATGCATCCATATCTTATCAGGGTCCTCCATTCCAAAATAACAAGCACTATATCCTTTATGGAAGATCGTATTTTTTGTCAAATGTCATATGAACATGAAATTCACAAAACTTCACTCCATGATTGAATTCCATTCCTACATCCCCAATACAATAAAGGGCATCCATTGTGAAATAGAAAGCATTATGGATCCACAGCATAAGATGTTCATACCACAAATTTCAGGAATGAACTGAGTTTTCGCCAGGAATTTTCCTGCAGATATTCGGTATATGTATAAATTTTGTCTTTTACCAGAGTATCTACCTATACAAGGTCATAATTTTCAGAAAAAAAACTGTGCTTTGTAAGTGAGTTAAAAAAGAAGCCAGGTAAACATGCAACACGAACAAGAAATCACAGTAAATAAAAAAATAAAATCTGAAACTAGGCAATGCTACTACTTTTTATAAATAACATACCTCCGTATCCTCATGGCCTCCTCTAGGCCAGAGAGTTTTCTCGCAATGATGATATTCCACTTTTGCGAATGTTTTTTTCCTTATTTGTCCCCAAAAATAGTAGAAAAATTAGCAGGAGAACAAAATACTATAAAAAATTAAGACTATGACACCATATTTCTTTTTCAAGGAATAACATGATTAAATTATGCGTAATAAAGCTTACAATGATCAACACAATGCTTCCTATCGGAGGTGTTCACATTCCAAGGCATTAACACGGTGACCCACTTAAGCAAGATGATGAACGCACTCATCTTCTATATCTTTTCGACCTATATTGTTCATGGATGATCCAAGAAAAAGGAGGAGCTTAAATAACCGAATCATCTATTCATTATTTCCTTTCAAAACCCAAGTGATGGGGAGGATCTGGACCAGTGATGGGGGAATTCTGGAGTATCCAGTTACCTAGTACAGTTAGTAAGCTTTGGACACAGAAACAATCATGTAAGGGCATATATGTGCAGGAAAATACAAAGTCCATTTGTGCAATGGCAACCAGGACAGTGAGAGTGCTTATCAGAAAAACTTAAAAAAACTAAATATTTAGGAATAATTGAATCCACCAAATCATGGTTTCTAGGCTAAAGCCTTCACTTCATTTCAGATAGAGTTCAAAATCTTTCGTCCTCTGTTCTGTCCTTGTGTTGGTGCAAGAACTCAAAGTTCCAGCATGTCACACCATGGGGTAGACGGCAGCAGTGATAGTTAGGAAAATTGAGATCCACCTCAGACATTTTCCATAAAAGAACACATTTTTCAAAACGGTCTTTCATATTCTCTCAATTAACAAACTGGTATAAATATATAAAGCATGGTAGGCTAGCATTTTCGTATACTGACACAATTCAATGCATTTATTTTAGTAGAGATTGAGATTATGCAAGGCAAATATCAAGTATCATTTGTGTGACAGAAACAATAGCCTCAATCTTCTGTTGTCTCCTTCTATAAATACAATTTGATCAGAATCCTCAAACATAATACTTGTTTTTCCAAATTGAATAAGCCCACAGAGGATGTCTGTAACTCTTTTCTAGATACCTAAAAAAAAGTTTATTTCCCTGGTTGATTTCCAAGAATATATCTTCAGGAATTTCCTGACTGGGTCACTACTGGAAGGCAATCAATTCGTACTTGTGAGGACACAATTTAGCACCTCTGACTTAAAGGCATAAATAGCAATCAGAAACTATCTGGAAGACCTATATAAACAGGCCTTCTAATCTAATAGGCATTTCGTGATCAATATGAAGCAAGTTCTAAGGATGATCATAAATTTGACAACTGGACCATGTAAATGATAATTCTCTGATGACGACGTTAAACAAGCTCACAGATTCAATGGTGACGACCTGGAGACTTTGTGAATGGACTGTCTATCTACATACAGAAGAATATCAACGCGTAGTAGCCATCTGAGAGTCACCTGATTTGTCATTTTGACCTTTGGAAATATGGTACAATTGGCATATTTTTCATTATTGATGAGACTCTTAGAGAAGACTAGAACCTCAATTCAGTGCCAAGTGAGAAAACGAGCATCCACATCCGCCAGAATTTAGAATCATCACCGGTTTGCACCAAGATCGTGTTCAGTAAACAGATTATTAAAATAGCAAATTACTCATTCATTTTCGCCTGAATTAGAAGAACGTCTTTCCGAGCTAACCTAAGTGTCCTTGTCGAGTAAGAATGCTACCAAATATGATAGACAATAAAACTGAAATTAGTGGAGAACTTTTGTGATGGCAACTGAAGGATGAACAAGAGGTAGAGAAGGGTTTGGCCAGGAAGGAAACAACCATATCCTTCGCGGTTACTGTTTACATCCTCCTCATTCCAATCTAAACACTGTTCCTTCAAATTTCCGAGTGGAAGAAAACTTAAGCTGCTGGTATTCGCAGGGAAACACCAACACATGCCTTCCACATACTGTGCACAAGAAGATGAAATCACCATCTTCGCAAGACGGCAAGATGTGCGTAATCTCCACAATAGGAGCAGAAGGGAAGGAGAAAGCAACCAACCTGGAGGAACAGCCAGCGAGAGCCGGAGAGGGGCGCCAGCCAGCAGGGCTGACGATGAGAGCGGCTCTCCCGGTAGCTGGAGTGAGCAAGACAGGGGGGAACGGAATTGGGCTGCGAGAGCCATCATGGAACACAAAGAGGGAAAACCCAGCGCCTCCCCTTTGGTTCGGCCTCCCTGAGAAGGAAAAAAATTGTCTCTTTGCTCTGTTTTTTAAAGGTGGTAAAAGGGGAGCGGAGCGGAGCTGATACGATGAGGCAGAGCAGAGCGGTGGGGCTCCCCTCCAGAGAGGAAACCGATCAGAGGGTGGTGACCGTCCGATCAGATCGGCCGTCCGATCAAATCGAGTGGCTACTGTCGCAAGGCATTTCCTCAGATTGAGAGAGTGAGAGAGAGAGAGCAGAGACCTCGAAATTATTTGTGAGTCAAGAGAAACCTGAGCCACCCACTTCATACAGATCTTTTTGTGGAGATTTTTGAGTGTCTTTTGTAGAAACTCTGGCCATTCTAACTTACTTGGTGGAGGAGACAATCCGTCAATCCATTGTAAATCAGCTCCATACCTTCCATACCAAGTCTTTTGGCCATACATCTTGTTAGGACATCCTCCTCTACATGGCTTACTTGAGCTCATTATCTCTCTTTCTTCTCTCATCTATATAAACACATGTAATTTTTTATTTAGAGTTAATCTAATATTAGGGTTTAACCCTTCTCATCAACATGATATCATAGCCTTAAGGTTCTTTTCAGCCGCCGCTGTCGCCATTCTGCCCTTGCCGTTGCACCTGCCATCATCATTGTGTCACTACCACCATACTCTCTATGTGCTCTCATCTCTCTCTTTGTGTGCCATCCTTTGTCACACACCACCATCTACTGCACACCGTCAAAATCTACCACTGCACTACATGCAACCAGTGCACTGGCATCTACCCTACCACCACAACCCTTATTATTGCAACCTCTACAGTTGTGGCCCTTGACGTCACAACTCCTACCATTACAGCCCTTGTTGTTGTGGCATCTACTGCCATAATATCTTGCTGCCATAGTATCTCATAGTATCTCTCGATATCTCATGATATCGTGTGGGATCATCTCTTATTGTACTATCTCCCATCACACTATCTTCTTGTCATGTGCCATCTCCTCTACGTTGTCCCTTGCTGCACATTCTTGCACTTACATCAATACATTGTTTCCCATCATCATTATGGATCAGAATAATACATCTTCTCCACTTCAAGGACCACCCCATGGCCCCACTTCTAGTCAAAGTGTTTCTATCGTCGACACTCCTCCTACAGTACTCCATCATGGTTCAATTGACTCAATCGACATACTTCTTCACTAGTTTCAATTATATGTTATGGACATTATGTTTTGAATATTTTATTGCATCTCACAATCTAATTCATCATCTAATGGATGATCCGTCAACCATCGTTGACTCGACTTATACTTTTTCATCTCAAATTGACTCCATTGTAGTCACCTAGATGCTTCAAAGTATTGAGTAGATTATTTATGAGCCCCTTGCTCGTATCAAACTCTTTAGCTAACTTTAGCTCATGGTGAAGATCATGTATGCTAATAGGACAAATATCAGTAGTACTATGTAGTTATTCAAGTTTTTTTTCACCTATAAGTATCACTTATTTTTCTCATGTTTGAATACTTTAGTATGTTATCTATGGACTAAAGCAAAGTCCTCGAGCCCAGTTTGTGAAGTTTAGTGGCCTTCCTACTTCCTTCGGCTTCACTCCATGCATTGGTGACCCCACTATCTTGATGAAGACCATACTTAGAGGTATAGTCATTTTAGTTGTGTATGTTGATGACATTCTTGTGAGAGAGAGTGATGAGGTAAATATCTCTACCACCAAAGTCACTTGCAATAACAATTTGTCCCAAGAGACTTAGGGACACCACGCTACTTCTTTAGGATAGAGTTTACTTATCAATTGGACAAGTTAACTTTATCTTACAAAAAATATGTCCTCGACCTTCTTAAGAAAATAGAGCTTTGAAGTCCTTAGTTATAGAGGTACATCTGAAGTTCTGAGATATTACTTCACCTCTAATAGAGGATGTTAATCGTTATCAACGATTATTAAGAAAACTAATATATCTCATTATTACTCATCTTGACATCATACATATAGTTAGTGTTCTCACCTAATTTATGTAGGAGCCTCATCAGGTCTATTGAGAAAGAGCACTATGTGTCTTAACCTATATCAAATATGCTTCAAGGAAGGGGTTCATCTACAAATGTTATGGTCACCTATGTGTTGAAGCCTACTCAAATGCTGAGTATGTTGGTGACAAAGGAGATAAGAAGTCGACAATTGGCTATTGCACATATGTTGGTGGTAACATAGTCACTTGACACTCTCGAAAGTAAAAGGTGATATTTTGTTCTAATGTAGAAGTCAAATATCGTGTATGGTTGAAACAACATGTGAAATGCTATGATTTCACTCTCTTCTAGAGAACCTAGGTGTCACTCCTCAGACACCTATGCCTATGCATTGTGACAATCAAGCAATAGTCTTCATCATCGAGAATCTCATATTTTATGAGTAGATGATGTACATCAAGATTGATTGTTATTACATGTGGGACAAAGTTTTGACAAAGGTTATCTCCACACCACGTCACTTCATTCAATCAACAAGTAGACATCTTTATTGAGAACCTTACAACAATGTCCTATGATGTTATATGTATCAATCTGAGCATGTTTAACTTATATGCTCTAGTTTGAGGAGAAGTATTCGAACATCTTGATCTACATGGTCAATTTGGGCCCATTTCTCTCTCTTCTCCCACTTATATAAACATATATATTCTCTATTTAAAGTTAATATAATCTTAAGATTGTCTCCCTTCTTATCAACAATATGGTCATTCAGTCATATATGTTGATGACACTCTTATGACAAAGAGTGATGAGGTAGACATCCTACCACCAAAGCTTATCTTCAACAACACTTTGTCACAAAAGACTTCATAACACTATGTTACTTCATTGGGATGGAGTTTGGTTATCAATTGAATAAGCTAGCTTTATCTTAGAGTAAATATACTATCAACTTTTTTCAGAAAACAAGCTTCTAAGCTACAAACTAGAGTTATCACATATGAAGGTGCATCCAAAGTTCTTGAATATTACTTCACCTCTAATGAAGTATGTTGCTATCGATGATTATTGAGAAAACTGATATATCTTACTATTACTCATCCTAACATTATCCATATAGTCAATGTTCTCAACCAGTTTATGCAAGAGC